AGTAGTAGTAGTAGCAGTAGTAGTAGTAGTAGTTGTCGTAGTAGTCGTAGTGGCATTGGCATTGGTGGTAGTAGTAGTAGTAGTCGTCGTCGTCGTCGTCATCGTCGTAGTCGTAGTCGTAGTCATAGTCGTAGTCGTAGTAGTCGCCGTCGTAGTAGTAGAAGTGGTAGTAGTGGCGGTGGTTCTAGTGGTAGTCGTAGTCGTAGTGGTACTGGCAGTGGTAGTAGGTAGCAGTAGTCGTACTACTAATAATCATAGTAATAGTAGTAGCAGGAGAAGAAGGAGGAGCAGCATTAGTAGCCGTCGTCGTAGTAGCAGTGGTAGGAGGGGCTAGACCATATTTAATAGCGTGATACCACCATGGTTTCCATTGCCATGCCCCTGTTTTAGCAACTGCAACGGTTCCAATGCACTCTCTCGTATGAGACTGACAGCAGTTTTTGTACAGGCTTTGTGGCTCGACGGACCCATCCTATACTTGTGTCTCGTTGTTTTGTGCATATCACACTGGGGCCAGGAGTGTGGGAATTGTCGCTGCTGCCGGAGACGAAGCACTTGAACTGATTGCGGAGTGTCTGTAGCAACTACAGACCAACGACCTCCAGGAATCTGCTTCCAGGGACCCATTCCCGCGTCTTTCACGCATCTCAGGTGCCGACCTCCCTGAAAATGTGCCACGCGCTCCGAACGGGAGAACTCACCAGCTGTATGTGCAGTACCTGGACCAGTACTTGCAGGACGCCAGATGGAATTCGGAGCTTGCTCGGCGACAGGCTCTGTAGCTTGAAGCTCTTCATAATAAGCTTCACTGCCTTGCGCAGCTTTATCGTTTGCGCTCGATCCGCTTGGTAAAGCTTAGGTGGGCCTCAACGTAAGTTGCCAGACGTGCTGTGTCGGGCCCATGTCACTACAGTCTCAGTAGCGGGTGCTAGAGCTTGAGTTCGGAGCCACGACATTCGAGGTCGTATATGTGCATGCGCACGAAAGGTCTCTGCACGTTTGTATTGCCGTGTGCGTCTCCACTTCTATGTATACTTAGACGTGTATGTATATGTGTGTATATATATATAAGGCATGCCTATATATATATATGTGATATATATATATATACATACACACATACACACACACACATATATATATATATCATAACATGTATTTCTGTGTGTGCGCGCTTATGCACTTGTCTATTGCTTGGTGTGTTGGCTTGGTCGGTTGCCTATTTAGTTCTATATGTACTGTTTTTTCATTCTGAGGCATCGGTTCTTGGGTTAGCTAATAAACTGGCTTCTATCTGTTTGCAATCATCATAGTTTTGCACACGCACACACACACACACAGGCAGACAGCCGTGTGTTATAGGTAGACACATGATATATGCATATAAACAACCAGTGCATCGTAGTTTTGCAGTTCTGTATTTATTTGCTTTTACTGTTCAGAAGACCGCGATTTGCATCCGCGAGCTCTGCTTCATGACCTCGTCTTCTCTCTCTGTCAGTTTGTGAACAGCATACTCTGCTGCCGCGTGTTGTCGTCAAAGCAGGAGATGCAGGTGGACAGGCGCGGCTTCAGGTTTGCCGTGCTTCGCCGACGTCGCCGTGACTTCCTCGGGGACAGCTTTCATTCGAGATTCGCCTCACTCTTGCCAAAGATGTCTCGGCACCGCTTGGCAAGATCGTCTACACAGAGCCGGGCAGATGAGTAGAAACAGCCCTCGCATAAAATTGTGTGTCTGTTTCCCAGGTTCGGGAATGGTACGAACCTTTTTCCTTTTCAGAGCTCCGGTAGGAGATTATACCGAGCTGACCGCGAAGTGCGAGTATTCAACACCATATACCATGTGTGGATTTCCGTGCTGTTGTTTGACGATCATGTGCATGTGGCCATGTTTCTGGAGTAGGTCGGTGAGCTGGGTGACCGGATGTACAGGGAGCTTGTTTTACTTTGGAAATTCGGCAGCAAGTCGGTGTCGCGACATCCAGTCGTGGCCGGCGCACATATCCTCCTCGGAGGTTACCGCCCCCACCTGACCCGCATCGACCGCACATTTGTTGGTCCTGTTCCATGCTCCGCGCCTGCAAATCGGGTCAATAATTCGTTGGTGAGAAGAGTCATGGTTTGCTTTCCAGTAAGACCGCCAGACGACCCACTTTGCAGGCAGGCGATTCTGAACCACGTTTGCAGCTTTTCAAAGGGGGAGATTGACGGCAACCTGCCCAAGAGGCCCTTAACACAGAAGCCGCCTTGGAGAACGAAGTGTGTTTCTCGGAGGCTAACAAGCTGTCATCATTGCAATCGGGTGCAGTGGACAAACCTTGCTGGACATGGTCTTCAACTTCGGTATGGACACACTGATGGTCTTCTGTGTCGATGCGTAAACCTCTTGTTCACAAGATTTTCTTGCTGGCCCTTGCAAGCATAAGCAAAGACGCCATTATTTGTTCGAGTTAGAGTAGCAATGCTTCCTGCTTGGAGCAGCTGGGGATCGCAAGTTAGTGGCTAACTCTTCAAGTTGGAAGCCTTACAGTAGCCTTGTCAACGTCGAGGCAGTGATGATTAACAAATGATTAACACAAGAGCCCACGCGTCTACGCCCGCTTCTTCATGCAGAACGTATGTACCGTGGCGAATAGGTACGACTGAGCGGGATGGAAAGAAATTCAGTATCGCGGAATGCGCGCATGTTTGCTCTTATGTTCTGTCTGTTTGGCTGTCTATTTGTCTGTCTGTCTGTCTGTCTGTCTGTCTGTCTGTCTGTGTGTCCTTCTGACTGCATGTGTTGTGTGACCATGGAGCCCGTACATTACATGCAGTATGCATCCGTAGCGCGCATATGAAATGCCCCTCTCTCTCTCTCTATTTCTGTCTCTAAATACATTTGTATATATATATATACACACGTATCACATAGATGTATATGCTTACACCCACACACATACACGCCTAAGATCGTGTTTGCACTGCTTAAAAATATTATGTTCTTGTTAACACAATCTGAGGGTTCTGCCAGTCCGTTCCATCTGCTCTCGTGCAGACATTTATTCAGTTAACTGCAGCTAAGAGTTTTTGTAACCACATAACCATACATGTGTGCATGTTTGCATGCTGTGTTGGGTGCACAGCTTCGTTTGAAAAATGTGCTTGATGTGTGCAAAAAGACGGCCCTTGTGGGTATTCGACACTTGTCAGCATACCGTCAGTCTTGAGAGAAATTCTGACTGGCAAGCAGCACCCGGCTGTTGATGAAGACTGGCAGGCTTAGACTGCCCACGTTGTAAAGGAGCAAGACAGCTCACTCTTGGCTTCGGGCCCCGCAGGATGCCGGTACCCCCTTCTTCCAGATCCGGTGACTCTTGACAGGGTTGACCTCGAAGGAGGCCAGCTCCTAAGAAACGAATCTCAGCTGCCTGCAAGGCGACACGGTAAACCCGTCCCGCTGCAGTTTGGTGGTCTTCAGCGAGCTACCAGGGCTCCATTTCCGACCTGAGTCGTTTTCTGATGCATGACATTTCCAATTGAATTCTAACGTGATCTCGGACGGATGGCGGCGGTCAGCGTAGCCTGTTCGTCCCCTGCTATACCTCCTAAACACGCTTAGTCTGACGCCATGAGGTGCTGTACAGCGGGTTCTGTCAGTTGGCTCACCCCTTCGAGGATACAGCTCTATACTGGTGCCTCCCCGGCATCCTTATGATAGAGCTGTGCCCTAGAAGTTTTCGTTGCAAGTTCAACTTCTACAGGCCCAGACTGTGGACCAGCTTCGACCCGATGTGTCGAAAATCCAAGCAACAGCGCGCTTTGTCTGCCCATTTCTTGTTTCTAGACCGACCTCCTATTGCTTTGCTTTCTTATGCTGTCGTGTTCGATCCTTGGGTTCTCATTCGCGGAAATAGGTTTAAAGGAGCGACGGTCCGAGGTCCAACTTGGAAGAAGTCTTGGTCGCGGCATGGAACCTTTGGCTTCGGCGATGCTTCCGTTTCAGAAATCACAGGGGTCATCACGTTAGAAGCGTGGCGTTGTAGCAGCTGGATCGGGTCGGATGCCATAGCATCTGCTTCGTGGTCTGAAGTATGAGGCTCCGAATAGCTCAAAGCAGGTACAACTGTGTTCATGGTTCGACTGAGATCTATGACTAGGATGTTGAGTGTTATGCACCCAGTGACAAGCGTAGTCATAGAGACCAGGCCCTGTTGTGCTACTCTTGCTAATGTTCTTAAATCGGATTGCTGCCCGCTTGCATACTGCCATCTTCTTCTCAAGGAACAGAGGCTTCCCAAGGCAAGCCCCTTTGCCTGGAAGCAAGCGCAGAATAGTCAACTTCTGGAACATCTCATGACCCAGGCATGATCGACCGAATCTGCTATCATTGTGAAGTGCACTGTCACTCAGAGCAAGAACCATGCCATCCACTGCACCGGTTGCTGCCAACGGGGGCTGCTGGGCCTTGACAGAGTGTTCACTGTTGGGCTGTACGATTGGCATGGTGGCTGGGTGTGGGTTTCAATCGTGCTCGGCATCCGATGCTGGTTCGTTAGTTTCACGGGCCCATTTCGAGCAAGGTGCGCGCGCTCTCTAGCTATCCCGGTGCAACCAGTAGCAAAGAGCCCGATGCTAATATAGGGGCCTTAAAAAATTAGAATAGGCTTTGGGGGCCCAATATACTATAATCATATTAAGGACCCCCCAATATATATATATAT